TCCCAACGCGTTCATGCTCATCTTTTCGAGCTCCCCCCATTCCCCCACCGAATGTGGCAGACAGTTCTGTACGCCCTCACCCATACCCGTTGAATTTCAAGCTCTGTGCGCCCTTATTCCCTATCGCGGCTAACGAGGCCCTCAGCTAGCTGTAGCTAGGGGCTCCCTACCCGCCCACCTACCCGCCAGCCCCAGGTCCAGGTAGAAGCCTCCCCGGTTGACCGAGGAGTGCTCCTTGAAGCCATCCACCGTGCTGATGGCCCAGATGAAGGTGGTGTTCTTGCTGCCATCTGGTGGTGGTGGTGGTGGGGGGTGCAGTTAGGTGGTAGGTGTACATGACAGATGTACAGACAGATGTACATGATAGGTGTACATGACATGACAGATGTACAAGATAGATGTACAAGACAGACGCGCGCTCGAAGCAGGACTACACCCTATCAACATGTCTGCAGTGGCCTTGTTTATGGTTGCTCTATGTGACATGTCTGAGATCGTGCGGCTGTCTAAATGTATGATGCTGGAGTAGCTTCAGCGTGACAGCTTCCATGGTAATGAAATCGGTCCTGAGACGGACAAACACCGGAGCAACCTGAACAGTACAAGAAAACCCCACATTGAACCTACCTGTCGTGATATTCTGTGATACCCTGGGCCGGCTATCACTCAGGCGGCGGCTAAAGCAAATGGTGGTGGTTACGACACCGTTGGACGAGCTCTGAGCCACCCCCATGTCGTACGCCCAGGACGGGCTGCCAGCCGGGGGATACTGATTAGTTGCGCTCAGACCTTCGGCCTGCGAGTGCGAGTGCGAGTGCGGGGAGGGGACCCAGGAAGGGGACATGGAGGGTGAGGGCGGGGAGAAATAGACAAGACAAGCAGGCTGTGGCTGGTGAACGATAGGTGCCAGTAGGGACCGGCGTATATTAGATTTATACAAATTTGGGGTAATCGGCAGCACCATGCAGCCTTCGCATGCTCCAACCATAACATGCATACACAGCACTCCGCCCCGCCCCGCCCAAACTACAGTCAGTCAGTGACTTCATCTTTGCAGCCGCGGTGCCGCATCGACTTGACATGCATTTT